CGGCTCCGGCTCAGCCCTGCCCGGCGACCCCCGGGGCCCGCCGGCCCCGGCGCTCCTCGCCCGACCGGAGGGTAAGAGATGCGGCAGCCGGCGGGGCCATGCCGGAGCCGGCGAGGGAGAAGCCGGAGCGAGACCCCGCGGGGTGTCCTCGCCCGTTCCGCCCGGCCGGGGCCGTTCCAGCCGCCGCTGCCCCCCGTACCTGAGGAGTGAAGCTGGGGACGGGGGGCGGGGGGGGGCACCCCGGGCCGCCCCCGGTGCCCGGGTTTAAAAGATCGCGGAGATATTTTCACACCTCAGACCGCCGCCCCCCCCGGCTCCCCTCCAGCCCCCATCGCCTTGATTTAGCCCTTGGTAATTAATTTGGCATTTCAGAATAGCTACTGGGCTGGATAATGGCCTCATTCATCTCCCCAGCCTAATCTGAACAGAATCTGGAAGAAAAGCTTTCAGAAAGACAGAAACTGCCATTCGGCAACTGCTCAAAAGAACTGTCACTCCAGGGGAATAAATCGCTCCTGATTATTTCAACCCGGGTCTTCTCTGCTTTTCCAGCCGCTCCCGGTCCCCGCCGGGGGGACGGCCCCCAAATATTTGAGGAGGGGAAGATCTGGTTGGGTTTTCCCCCTCCCTTCGCCAAAACCCAAGGCCCGGCGATGGCAGGGGGAGGTGGGCCAGGGGCAGCGCATTGTTCTCGGGGAGGTGGACGAGCTCCGGCATCCGAAGCGATTTGACTTTTAAAACAGGCTCTGAGCTCCGGGGCCGCCTTTCCCGGCTGCCCCCGCTGGGGCTGAAGTAACCCCCATCTCCCTCCTGCTTCATCGGGGCTTCTCCCAGCCGAACTCGGGGGGGAAGGAGCCCTCCGCTTTGCCCTGGACCGGACCGGCCGTGCCCCGCGGCCGCTCAGCCCGTGTGCCGGGGCTTTCGGACTGCCCCGGTCCCGGTGCAGGTACCGGAGATACTGGCGATGCTCCGGTCCCGGTGTAGGTACCGGCCATACTCCGGTCTCGGCGCTGGTACCGGCGACGCTCCGGTCCCGGTGCAGGTCCCGGCGATGATAGTCCGCTCCCAGTGCAGGTACCGGCGATGCTCCGGCCTCGGTGGGAGCGATTGCGCAGCGGGGTCGCACCGGGGCTGGAGCCGGCGAGGGTCCGTCCCCCCCCGCCAGGGCAGGGCCGGGGCTAGCTGGTGCTTAATGATAGGAAAATCAAATCCCAAGCGGGGTTGGGGGGCACGGCCTGGTGCCCCGAGCATCCCCCCTACTCCGTCCTCCCGGGACGGCCCCAGCCCCCCTGGCCCGGAGGGGGCGGCCAGACTCGGGACCGGGCCTCGCGGAGCTGCGCCTCGGTCCCCGCGGAGCTGCTTACATGCATTTAATAGCTCGAGGGCGAGGTAATTAGAGGAAAGCCTCAGTAAATCACGTTAATGACCGCAAGAGCCATTACATTCGGGGGTTGTGAAACACCGAATAAACCCAGCGCGAAGGGCAGGAGGGGGGCGAGAGCCGCAGCCTGCGTCCCGGCCGCCGGGCAGCACCGTCGCCCCGTGCTCGGCAGCGCCGGATGGTTGTTAAATTAACACCCTGCTAATGGGATTAAGCAGCACCTCAGGTTTGCGGGGAGTTTAGCGTGGGTCAGGTTTTCTTAGACACCCCCCCCATATTTGCTGCGAGAAGGTAAAGACCAGTGTGGGCTGGAGGAGCCGGGGCGGGGGGGGGCTTTAAATACCCTCCCGGATTTTAACGAAACGCCGAAATTTCAGCCCTGCCCCTGCGCCCGGGGCCGGCGAGAGGGTCGCAGGCAGCCGGAGCCAAACCCGCAGCTTCCCCGGGGGAAACGCCGGTCCTGGCAGCGGCACCTGCTGCTCTCCGAGCCGGCCCCCACCTGTCCCTCCCCCTCCGGGCACAGGAGCCCCGCACACGGCGGCGCTGGACGGCCCGGACACGGGTGGACGGAACCCCCGCGGGGAAGGGCCGGTCTCGGACACGCGTGGCCGGAGGAGAAGCACCGGGCGGGCAGAGCGGCGACTCAGACATGACGAGCGGGGATGGTGGTAGCAGGCGCCCGGGGGGGGGTCACGGGTCCGGATTTGGGGCGCCTGGCTGGGCAAAGCGGACCTCGGGTCCCCGGGGGCCCGACAGCTGCACCAGCCACGGTGGTACCTCCGCCGGGTGCCACCTGCGCAGGCTTGGGAGGGCATAGCCGGGGCCGAGCCCGTATGGGATGGCTGTGTTCCCGGGGGGGTCCCGCAGCAGCTCCCCCGGCCTGTCCCCCACGGCCCGGGACGGTTTGGTCTGAATTCCCCCCTCGCTCCTTAGAGCTCCTCCACAGCTGGACGGTATCACCGCGACCACCCCCCACCTCGCCATCCTGCAAATCGGGCTGCAATCCAAGAGCGGGGCGGAGTGGGGCGGGGGGGGGGGAAATCTCTCCGGGGCTGGGATACGCCGGGACTGTGCGTGTGTGTGTCCCGGGTGTGCCGGGCTGCGTCCCTGGGCGGCTCGGGTGGGACCAGCAGGACTGGGACCCCCCTCCGGTCCCGGGCCGACCGAATCCCCGTACACACACACACACACACCTCTTCCTCCGGCGAAGGAGCAGCAAGGGCCTCGGGAGCAGGACGGAGGGGCTGTTTCCCGGGGAAGAGTTAACAAATCCCCGCAGCGGCGGGGCTGGGG